CACATGTACAGTGGAGTACCACTAGCTTGGACATTACATTGCTTGTACTTTGATGTGTTTGAATCTTTTATGGTACTGAAGATTTGCTTACGGTTGAAAAATATTAAAAATCGTCCGTGCGTATATGTAAATATATTTTCATAAACGCTTTGAAGTATAGAAAATTTTAATATTAAAAAATAAATAAAATAATTTTTTTGTATATATATAAATTTTGTTCAAGGCACATTGACCCACCTGTACAAAAATTGTGGCGCGTCATGGACAAAAATTTTACAATTTCGGACCGAAAAATATGAAAACGAGCTAAGTTGCCACGTTACATCTGTGAACTTCCGATAAAACCACATATTTTTGTGATTTTAGAAGTTTTGATTTTATTAAAAAAAAATCAATGTATTTTCCTGCAGAAAACGTACACTTTTATTTAATGTTTATTAAAATTACATCTCAAAAACTAGCTAATGATTGAAATATTGATATGTAACATAAAAATAGAGTGTTTTGCCAAAAATTACCAAAAATTTCCAAAATTCGAGATAACTTATTTTACTGGTTATAGAGAAATAGTTGCCACTTTTCACTTGGCTGGCCGAGATTTCTTCATTTTAAGATTTTAGAATTTTTGTGTCGGATTGAAAAAGTTGAGCTTGTTGGAGATGAATTTGCGGGGAGATGTGCTGCGGTTATTTTTATGAATGAATTTACTTGGCCTTGAGAAATACGCGCATGCGTTTATGAAAGAAATAGTTATTTTTGTATTTGAGTACGCGTGCAATTATGTGCATATGTACGTATGCTGCCGTGAGTTGTAAATATGTACATTTGTGTGTATGTGCGTAGTATTTTGGCAGTAATATGCACATACATAAATATATATGTATGCATGTAAAAACGTTATCAGTTAATGGAGTACGTATGTACATACGTATGCATGGGGAAATGCATTTTCATTTGACTCCAAAACTATTGGGGCATATTCGTAGACCAAATAAAGTCGACTCTAAGTTAAAGTTTCTCAGTCCCAAAAAAGAAAAAAATTTGTTGCATCTTTTTTTCACAGATGCCTAATCCACTGAAAGTGATGTGAAAAAGCTGTAACTAACTTTAGTGTCGACTTTATTTTTACTATGAAAAACAGTGAAAAATTATAATGCAACATATTTTCTCAATATAAATAACTTCGACAAAAACAACTTTACGTTAACACGTGCAGTGCAATCAATTTGAAGTCGGTTTTTTTTTGCTAAAAATTACTTGTTTTCAGTTATGAATTTAGGCTAGGCTTCATGGGAACTTACTGTGGGTGCAAACAGACCACATTTTGTAAATATGTACATACATATGTATACACTTCAACTGAATTGTGATATTTAATTTAATTTTATAATGAAAAATGAATTTAATGTGCAATTTTTTAAGTTTACTAGATGTAAGACAACTTTTAATTTTCTTTATATATTGCATGCTTTAGTTTTAATTCTGTTTAAGTTAAGTTGTAAACGTGAAAATAGGCCTCCTGGGCAACCGAGCACATTAAAAAAAAATCGGTACCGCGCGTAAAAGCATACCTCACAAGTGGTGTGGAAAATGCAAGAACAAATATAAATGGAATAATTTTCTAAATTATGAAATGCACCCAGAAAAAGGTTTAGTTATAATAACCAAGATTTGGTTATAGTGATCAAGTGGCATAGTTGGATATGGCGAAATAAATATATAGTTCACGAAAGTCTGCAATTTACTTAAGACTTCTAGTTGGGACAAATGTATATTTGTTAATAATTACAAAACGACTACCTTGATTGGACAATATTGCTAGTTGAATAAAATCATTGTTGAGCAAATATAAACAATGCTTTGGTTGATACAAGTTTTCAATTAATTTTGTGAACTTGCTGTAGACTTGAATCAGCTAACCGTTTATTATTAGGAAAAAAGTTTCAGTTTGACACAAATAAAAATTTACTCGATGTTTGTTGTGTTTACTTTCTTCTTTTATTTGCATATATTAAGCATAAATATACGTACATATTTACATAAGTTAGTTACTAAAGTAAATAATACATATGTATATGTTGGTAAGAATTTCCTAAAAAACAACGATGAAACAGGAACAGTCGTGCGAAAACCCAGGTCAATATCTGCTGGAAGTATACTGCTTTGCTTTTTCCTTAGCTTAATAGATTGTTTCAAATTATAATTCACATGAATTATATATCCACTGAAAAACCCCGGTTGGCATCAAACTTTATATTTTTAATTAAACTATGCGCGCACCGAAACAACTCGCGATGATAGCAATACTGAAACTGAGACAAACAAGTATGGGCATGTCATAGCACACATGGCGCAGCGATCGACATGCCACACACCACATGCGTGTTTCACCCATATACGAACAGCGGTAGCGGAGCAATGATTTCCACGCACAATGCAATGGTCGGCATACTAGCGCATTCAAACGATTCAATAAGTGGGACTGTGTGCATTGCTGAGCTGGCGCTCTTCGTATGTGCTCAGAGAGCGCTCAGCATTCTTTAGGGGTGGCTCACAAGCATGAATATGTTCCACTCTCAAACCAAATCGTGGTTGCCTCAACTAAGATTTGGTAACTATGACTAAACCACGTGTTGAAAGAAAGCTTATCTGCATTAGCAGAGCTTAATAACACCCTTTTATGAACCATACGTTAAGTTGAATGGAATTTGTAGAAATATGGTTCAAAGAAATATTTATTAGTATTAACCAAACCGTTCAACTAAATTAACGATTTGTTACAACCTAGATGAATATTAGAAGCTTTAATATATTTAGTTATAATTACCAATCGATGGTAATAGTTCCCAATCCTTGGTAACAGTTCCCAAATATTGTCAAAATTCGGGAACTAAATATCTTTAGTTGTCGAAACTAATCCTTTTTCTCAGTGTGGTTATTGGTATTTTATGGAACGTTATTTAAGCTGCCTTTATACGGTCGATTTTTGTAGTTTAACCAAAATCTACCCGTGTAAATTGCAATTCAACCGTAAAATGTAAGCGTTTTGGCTAGTCGATATCTTAAGTAAATTTTCCAGTCGACAGAAATCGACCCGTGAAAAGGCAACTTCAGGAATTTTTTAATTTTCTGTTTTTTTTTTTTGCTTGGGCGTCTTTTGAAGATGTGCTAAATTATATTGTCGCCTTAAATACAAAACAACAATTTCTTTAAGCCATCTTGTGCAGCAATTTGTTGATCTTATCGTCACGGCTACCGAAATCACCAACCTCAACGTAGTGATTAGCCTTCTTGCGCCAGCCTCGGGTTGATGTGTTGAGTTTGAATAGCAACAGGAAGTTGGGGGCTTTCTTGAAGTGAAGTGAATCAACGCACTGAATTTCGTGCGCTTCGCGAAATTTGCGTTCGATCACAAAGTAGAGATTGGGACACGCTTGACCATTCCACGTTTGTACATCAATTCACGAACTGATTTAAGATTTGGATAACCCCATATAGGGTTCGGCATACGTAGCATATTAATGGTTACCTTGCTCAATTTTTTGAACACACCGTTTTAATGTGGCGAAGACAGAACTGTAAAACTACGCTTTTTTTGTACAACTTTGTTGATACCGCGGATGCGGATCACAAAAGCCAATTTGGATTTTCAGGCCCGTCGAATTGGCCGCATTTCTTTGCCACACAGCGCTACTCCATCTCACGGCGTCCATCACGGAGTTTTCTTGTTTGATATTTCTCAGCATGCACCAAGTTTTCACGTTTACGGAGTGCAATCACAGCAGAGCGCTTTAGTTTACGTTTGATCAGGGTAGCAATTTGCTGACCTGCTCTTGCTGAACTGCAGCTTCGACTCGGGGACAGGAGGCAGCTTCCTGAAAGGTTGTCTGCCCTTTGCTTGCGGTTTCTTACCGGCCGTGATGGCAGTCCTCTTAACTTGTTACTTAGCACGTTGAAAAGGCACGTTGCCAAATGTTTGGAGCACATCGTAAATAAGCCACTCGTTTTATAACATTTCTCTAAACAATTTAATTAAATACTTTTTATACATAGATATGCTGCAACCATGCACTTACTTTCCCAAATTCCATCCTGCTTATCGGCATAATTTTCCAAATATGCCTGCTACTTCATTACTAATTACTCAATTTTCCAACTGCGCCTTCTTTGTTGGCTCGACATATCCTAAAATTTATTAAAATAAATTTACATTGAACAATAGAAATCGCAAAAATTAGCAAATAAAATACTCGCTTTGTTTTGTTGTCAAATTTCTGAGAAATGTGAATTCACCACGATGCGATACAGAAAGAACAAGGACCAGGGATGTAATTTTAAGTAAATCTATTATTCAGTGGCAAGGCGCAGAGCGTTCGGGGCAGCAATATTAATTTGTATCAAATATAACATTAAACGGTGGTGTAATACATTTTTTTATATTATTAACCAGAGTACATACATTATATGGTATTTCTTTCAAAAACTAATGAACTATATGAACTTTTTTTTTTCAAATATTTCTTAAGTTTCTTTCATGAGTGCTGAAAAGCAACCATGCGTGTAAGAAATTGTGTGCTACCTAAAATTTCACCTCTGGAAACTTTATCCCCATAAAGGACTTCACCACAGTTTTTTTACGCCGCGAGTTGTTGCGCATAGTTATTTAAAAATATAAAGTTTGATGCCAACCGAGGTTTCTCAGTGAATATATAATTCATGTGAATTATAATTTGAAAGCATCTACACAGAGAAATTTCCGTTTTCAAATTTGTATGGAACGTTTTACTTTTAAAAACGTTTTGACCCAGGTTTTGCACCTACAATATTTATTTAAATTTTGAAAACGATAATTTTTAATTCAAATTTCAAAATCCGTTTTTTTGTTTTTGATACGAACATTTTCAAATCGTTTTTAAAAACGATTGTTTGATAATTGAATATGCGCATGTTGAAATTAAATCCTAAAATGTTTTTTCTTCATTTTAAAAATGTGCGTTTTCAAATATGATATTCCGATTTTATTTTTATTAAATCACAACAAGTCGTTTGGTACACACATTGTCAAAAATATAGTGATATATATACATATACTTATAAATAAGTTACAACATTTAATAAATGAAATACAGATGTTTTACATATCACTATATACATATGTACATTCAGATGTTCATGCCTTACTTCCAAGCTGGGCCTGCTAACTTTGCTTCATGCTGGTCAAATCCTGTAATTTAAATTAAGAAAGTTTTAAATTATTATTTAATAACCCATAAGAATTTGTTTTTGTAAGTTACTCTTACCAAAGCTTTCTGCGGTCAAAGAAGTCCAATGTCCCCTATATGCAGTTAGGGGTTAGAATGGCAGTATTGTTCTATATACTTCATCGACTTTTCTGAAGATTGAAGTAACTTATTTATCTGAACACAATTTTTCCGACAAATGATGCAAACATATGAAAGTTTTTCATTGTAGCTAGGTAGCTTTTTAAATTCTAATGGAAAACATTTTAGTTTTAAATACTTTTCATACCTAATTGACTGAAAATAAATTAACGTTTTTGTTTTAGAAATGTCTAGTTTTATTTTCCTTGTTGAAAATTGTGTCGCACTACAACTTGTTGGGACAATATTCTAAAATGTTTAATTTTAGTTTTTAAAATACGCATTTTTGTTGCTATTTCTTTAATGACGTTTGTTCTCCTCAGTAAAAAAAGAGAATATTTTATAAAGATCGTTTTTGTTTTGCGAATGTTTCGTTTTAAAGTCGTAAGTACAAATACTGTATTTTTTATTTTGTATGAAGTGAAATTATATCAAAAAAAGTTATTTTACAATTCCTTTTAAAAACTTGCGTTTTACCTGTATCATCTTCTCTGTGTATTTAGCCAAGGAAAAAGCAAAGCAGTGTACTTAAACCAGCACTTCCAGCAGATATTGATCTGGGTTTTCGGACGACTGTTCCTGTTTCATCGTTTCTTTTTAGGAAATTCTTACCACCATATAGATATTTATTATTTACACTAGTAGCTATTTATGTATTTTTTATGCTTAATATATGCAAATAAAAGAAGAAAGTAAACACAACAACCATCGAGTAAATTTTTATTTATGTCAAACTGAAACTTTTTTTCCAATAATAACCGGTTAGCTGATTCAAGTCTACAGTAAGTTCACAATATTAATTAAAAACTTGTATCAACCAAAGCATGGTTTATATTTGCTCAGAAATGATTTTATTCAACTAACAATATTGTCCCCTCAAGGTAGTCGTTTTGTAATTATTAACAAATATACATTTGTCCCAACTAGAAGTCTCAATCAAATTGCAGACTTTCATGAACTAGATATTTATTTCGCCATATCCAACTATGGCACTTGGTCACTATAACCAAATCTTGGCAATTATAACTAAACCTTTTTCTGAGTGTAGCTGATTCACGGCTACAGCAAGTTCACAAAATTAATTGAAAACTTGTATCAACCAAAGCATTGTTTATATTTGCTCAACAATGATTTTATTCAACTAACAATATTGTTCACTCAAGGTAGTCGTTTTGTAATTATTAACAAATATACATTTGTCCCAACTAGAAGTCTCAAGTAAATTGCAGAGTTTCGTGAACTAGATATTTATTTCGCCATATCCAACTATGCCATTTGGTCACTATAACCAAATCTTGGTAATTATAACTAAACCTTTTTCTGAGTGTGATCCGAATCACCTCAGCAATTAACTGCAGGTGATCCGGATTAAGCCCGAGTTAATCTGGATCAACGCTGCCATCTGTGTAAAATTTAAGCTTTTATTTAACTATCAATCCTTTTCGGCCCATGTGGAGGAACATGTCGCTACCTTAATAGTAGAATGGCCCTATAAAAAATGTTTGTGTCTTTACAGAGTAGTTAAAAAACTTTATAAAGACTAGAGCTCTAAGCTGGAAATTTATTCAAAATTCTCGGTTTTAATCAGGGCAGCCAATATAATAAAGACACCGTTCTTGTTCCAAGGTGAATTTCGAAAGAAAATGAGTTAGGGCCTTTCAATATTAAGCTAACGTTAGGTATACATATACTCGTATATGTGTGGTCGTGGCTCTTCCATAGTTAGCATACATTCCTCCCACAAAATGCCGGCCTCTTAAATAACTCACACCACCGCGTACTGAATGCAGCCTTTCTTTGCTTTTATTCACTTCTTTTCGCTTTTATCCACTCGCCTTTGATGCATTGCCACGAGATTTAATTTTCTTGGACACTTTGAACCACGGCTGCCGCTTTGCTCTTCCTACACTCCATCTCCATATTTATCACGTTTTTCCTCATTGAATCTCTGATGAAATGACCGAAGTGCATTTCGCTCGTTTGTAGTTGTTGTATTTTTTTCTTGTTTGTTTTTGGGGAAGTCAATGTCGCACGGAATTGAGTTGTGTGTGTCGCAAGCACATACTTACAAACGTAAATGTGTGCGATGCGCTTGTATTCCCAATGGCTTTAAATCAAAGCATACATCCAGGCTGCTGCTACTATGCTCTTTCCCCCTCGCCTCGCATGGCCCCTGTTGCATTCAACCCGCTTGCTCTTCTTCGGCGTTTGGTAATTCAATAGCCTCTGCTTGATGACTGACAAACTCGTCGTACAAGCATCTCATTGACTGACCTTTTTGACAGACATCAGTCGCACTTCCAATTTTTCGACATGCAACGGCCGTGACAGCAAACAACAACACAAAAAAATTCGCAGGCATATCATTCTTATTCTGATATCTGTTACTTTGCATGCAACGCATTCACGGTTGCATATGGCAATGTTTTGCGTATATTTTACTCGATGTTCCCTTTCGCTGTTGTTGTTGGTGCTGTTGGATGTTGTTGCTTTTATTATTGAATTGTCAGAAAAGGTTTTTTTTTGCCTTTAGCTTCCCTCCGAGGAAAAAATATTTCCAAAATTGCACTGCACATTCAGCTTCCAGCCTCAAGGTGTCCTTTTTCAATTTACTGTCACCCATGCTCTCACCATGGTCACTACCCGCTTGCTATCGCCGACCCTCCTGTCACTTGATCTGTAACTGCTTGCTTCTGTCTTTCATATAAAAACTATCAATTTGCGCAATTATTTTTTACAGGAACAAAAGCCTCTACGTTCAGAATGACAATGAAGGTACTTAAAGTTTAATCGTACAAATGGCGCCCTTGGATCTCTAGCAGCCGTTATAAATAACGCGAATAGGGTGATTCCTGAGTTTTGAACCTCCAAATATGTCCTAAATATTTAAAGGTATATCTTATAATGGGTTTGCCTATCCTTTCATTCATGTGTATCTGTTGTGTCGTCCTCCTATAGGCAATCTTTTCAGCCGAATATGCCAGACCGGATTTTAACGAAATTTGCCAGTGTCTGAGAAAAGAGTTTTGACATGCGTGCCCACCAAATTGGAAAGTCTAAGAATGGTTATGCTATTTTTATTTCGGCTATAGTCGAATACTGTGGTCTGGTTTTATTTTATATCAGATTCTTCGGTCTAATCTTGGGATATATGACAACAAGTGGAACTGTTTATACTGATGTTTATCTATTAGGTAATTTAGGTCTATATACATATATTTACACATACATAGCCTCATAGGGAGTGTCGTGTCAGATGGAAGAACTCAACCACCGACGTAAAACCGTAGACCATTTCAGCTGACACGACCTATCTCGTGTTAACGAAAACTCACGCTAGGCAATGACCATGCTATCCAGTCGCGCAATTTTGTCTAATTTACGACTTACGCAATGAGGTTGACATCCTTTTTGAGAATCGATTTCACAATATTTAGGTGAAATCCTAGACCCTTTTATGAGGCTAGTCACTCTGAAGAGGTGCACTTCAGCGTACTAGTGATCGACAGATATCAAAAGTCAAAGGCGCGAAGAGTTCCACAATCATCTCTAAAGTGGTGTGCTACTGGATAATTTTAATATATCGCTTAACTCCATCAATTAAAGCTCGTTTCTTTGATTTCATGGGCCGATGTATGCTTTGCTGCGTGGAAGCTAGTATTTTGTTTTGCTATGAGAACTACCTGTCTACACCTGGAATTAAGGAGGTAAAGCTGAACTAGACATATGAGTTAATGGTACCACAATTGCTATTCTAAATAACCCGAAAATTTTACCGGTTGGCGTTGTAAGCAGCACGCATATCTAGTAGACCTCCGTTCGAAATTAAAACGCCGTCGACGAAGGTACAGTTCTCAGCATTTTAGTCAGAATAACCAACGTGATCGATTTTATTGGACCTACGAATTGCATAGGTCTAGCGGAAGCTCTTCTCTGTGCGACATTTAAGAAACCGTGCCGCCTCTTTTACTACACATTAGTGAAGGGATAGCCATTTCTTTTGGGACATATGTACCTCTGGAGTTGATCCCTGCTAAGATCTACTTCCGCCAACGATTTATCGAAGAGTAACTCACAATGTTCAATAGAAGTGCAAGGACAGATTTGAACTGAAAACTAACTACCTACTCAAATATATAAAAAAAAACATCTACGTACTAAATATGAGTATCTCAGTGGGAGTTCATCCAGTAAGTTGTCAACCGCCGATTTCATTTCGGTCCCGTGTTCAGCTTCACCTTGCTGTTTCATTGTTGTTGTTTTCTGATTGTCTCATGCGTTTTGGTGTGATTGTTCAGAACTTGCATGCGCTTCTGTTGTAGTTATTTATTTTATTTCGGCATTTTTCGTATTTGCCCCCATCAGTTTTGTTCTTCATTTTCAATTCATTTTCACTTCACTTTGGCCGCTTTTAATTGACACTGACTTTATGACAGTTTGCATGTTGCTACCATGATACAAAAAAGAAGGTAGTTTCAATAAACAACTTTTTGATTAAAAAGCAGATTTTTGACAATTGCTCAATTGTGAAAAATTCGAAGCGGCATAACCCAATTGTAAGTTTTTTGGTGTGGGATATTTTATATCATAAATTTGGGATTATAAAGAAAATAGTTGTATTAATATATACCTTTTAAAAATAATCAATATCTTATCTTGAAAACGTTTAAATTTTACATTAAATTCGATAACAACTTGCCACATCATTATTTTAATATTAATACAATTTTAGTGAACATATTTTAAAATTATGTTAGTGTCCTCATGTCATCTCATTATTTCACAATGTAGTTTTCTATATCGGATACGTGATTCTGATGTAATTCTGAAATTATACATTTACACAAATTACTGAAATTACACATTTCGATGTGTTATTTAATACATATTGTCTTTGTCCATTTAACAGCAATGGAATTTACTTTGGAACCCATGGGCCGTAAAATTTTTCTAGCAACACATATTGTTTTCACATGAAATTTTGACACACCCAAAATTGAAGGATAAAATAAATAGATAAAAACAAATTTTCAATAAAACTGATTTGTGTAGTCCAGGGGTGTCTTTAGTAAATGTTTTGGAGGCTGTTTTAATATATCCTATCTTATTATATATTTCTTAGCTTTTCTACATTCTGAGAAGTTGAGAGAATGAAGTCTAATATTCTTTTTTGGTCAACTACGATGTTTGATTTCATTTTTTGCAATGATTAGTTCATTTCGCTTGAGGAGTCACAATGCCCATACCGGCTTTTTTTTTGAAATTTCGGAGACAAGTTTTCCAATAATGGTTATAGGCTAAAACAATTTGTGGTAGAGTCCTGGAACTTTGTATGGATATATGTATATGAAGTCAATCTCAAGCTCATGGAAAAATATGAGTTTATTGGAAAATGCGGCGTGCCACCGTAGAACTAGGAATAGAGGTAAATGAAATCAATCCCAAACCTATGAAAAATGGGGGTACAGTAGACGCTCACAAATTAGAACTCTTAGTAATT